TGTCCCCCTCCTGTCACCTCTTCTCCCCCACTGTCGCCTTCCTGTGCCCCTCCTTGTACCCCTCCTTCCCTTCCTGTCCCCCACTTGTCCCCACCTCCAGTAATCCCCCAACCCTCATTCACCTCCTGGTCCCCGGGGGCAGTGCCTTTGTCCCCTCTTGTCCCCTTCTTCTTCCCCCTGCCCTGCTCCTTGTCCCCGCACTGTCCCCTTTCTGTTTCCGACCCACCTCCTGGCCCCTGGGGACAGTAGCTTTGTCCCCTCCCCACCTCCTGGTCCCCAGTGGCAGTGGCTTTGTCCCCTCCTGTCCCCTGCCCACCTCTTGGCCCCTGGGGGCAGTGGCTTTGTCCCCTCGGAGTGGGACAGGTGGGGGGCAGTGAAGTCCCCCACGGGCAGCGGTTTGTTGTCTCTGTCCAGCACCACCTCGGCATCTGTGGGGACACAGGGGACACGGGGACTCAGAGCCACCCAGGGGCTCTCTCTGACCCCCATGCTGGGCAGGGATGTGTCCGTGGGGATCCGTCCCCCTGCCCCACGGGACGGGACAGGGGGCACTTGGAGCATGGAGGTTGCTGTGGCAGCCGGTGGCCGGTCCCCGACACGGGGGGGACAGGGACCGAATTTGACTGGGCTGCGGGGGGTGACACGGGGGTGACACGGCTGGGGGACAGCAGGGGAAGGTGACAGGGGAGTGAGAGGGCTGGGGATACCTGGGAGCACGTGGGGGTGCCCAGGGGAGGTGACAGGGCTGTGGGTGTGAGGAGCCCCCGGGGGAGGTGACAGGGTTGGGGGTGCAGAGGTGAAGGCAACAGGCCTACAATACCCAGGGGTACCTGGAAGTGCCTGGGGAAGGTGACAGGGGAAGGTGACAGGGCTGGGGGTGCCAGGGGGTGCCCAGGACAGGTGACAGGTGGCACAGGGGACACTCACCGATGTCCCACCCGAACACCGTGTGCACGTCGTAGCGCCCGAGGTCGCGGCCACCCAGAGCCCCCCGCAGCGCCTCCCGCAGCCCCCGCTGCAGGGGGGTGGCCTTGTCCTTGTCCTTATCCTTGTCCCCATCCCCGTGTTCCCCCAGCGCCTCAGGGGGCAGGAAGGGCCCCTGGTACCCCGGGGCCTCCAGCCGGGCCGTGGCGTTGATGTGCACGAGCTTCAGCCACGAGCTCTGCGCCCGCGGGGACGTGTCACCTGTGGGGACAGCGGGGACAGCTCAGGGACACCCACAGCACGGGGGGAACGGCCTCAGGTGAACCAAGGATACTGGGAATGTTCCTGCTGGACAGGGCTGTCCAGTCCCAGGTGTGGAGGTGGCACCTGGGACACTGGTTGTGTCCCCAGGTGTGGGGGAACCGGTGAACTCCAGCACCTGGCTGGGGGGACAGTCACCTGGTTGGGGAGTCCTTCCCAGCCCCAAACATTCCCTGACCTCATGTCCCAGTGGGATTCACCCCCCAGGTCCCACGGGAGGGGACCTGGGGCTCGTAGGCACGGAGATTGCTGTGGCAGCCGGTGGCCGGTCCCAGCCATGGGTGGGGCAGGGACCGAATTTGACTGGGCTGCACCTGCCCAGCACCACCCGTGGGACAGGTAACCCCCCCAAACCACCTGTGGGACAGGTAAC